TGAGATACTTTATTTTAAATGGAGAAGGTTTATGGACTTTTTCTGTAAACAAAAAGGATGGCAAAAAAGTGCCCTAGCTACTAGAACATTTTCTCTGTTATCTAGTGATTTCAGGGTAAGCCTGCCATCTTGATTACTAAAAAAACAACTGCATTACAGTGCCATTACTAGAAAGAAAATGTTTCAGGGTAGTTTTGTTGGTTTTTTCTTTGTCATAGTCTTTTGCAAAAAGGRAAAAGTAGTGTTATGGGCAGTAGTGAAAATAAACAGCCATATTTTAAATAAATTATTTAGACCTGCTAACAGATCAGGGGGTTATTTAGTGTTATCATATTTGTCCTACAAAAATGACAGAAGATTTTTGTAATTTGAATTTTTTATTCATACACAGGTATGAGTTAGCATATAGACAAGGCTGGACAGTGTTAGGTACCTGTTGTCTTCAGCTGCCTGCCTTGGCCTACAGTTTTGAAACCTGCTACAGGCACGGTAGTAATGACAGTTCTTGTTGCATAGGATATAACTTAGTTCCTGGCGGATGGTAAATAGACTTTGGGGTTATTATTTCTGCAGTTGAGGACTGAGCCATATCAACAGGATTCAACAAAACAATATTTCAGTATGGTAGTTCTCCTTCCCTGCATGACCCTTACTGCACCAAATTTTACCCAAAATCTGCTGTTGAACCCGGAATCTTGCAGTGCATATCTTGATACCAGTAGGATGGACACTTGTATGGTGATTTTTTAAAGGCTGTGTTTCATTTTTAAGTCATTTTCAGGTCCTTCTAGGATAAAAATCAAGTAATCCTAGGATCACGTTTGGACAGTACAAAGGAAWGCCTGAGAAGTTAAAAACACTATTTACCTGAGCTGCTACCTTATATCTACTTCTGATATATGACTTTATCTGCATGTTCTTTCAAACTGATTTCATGCTCCCTGCAGTGACATATTTTGCTAACACAACAGACTTGTTCCTTCCCGACATACTGCTTCTGGCTCCAACAAATGTCAGTAGCTTTTCAGACAAACCTGTGCTTTTTAYTCCTGTCTTTCTCGAGAGGAATATCAACATCCCTCCCATAASATTTTTTCCCCTATGGCTATTCTGTTTGTTTTATAAACAGACTAGGTTTATTTTACATGTAGAGGCTGGTAAAGACA